AAACGAGGAAACTTGCAAGCAATTGCAGGGAAGTGATGAACGTTCTATTATATATTGGCATATACATGCATCGTATTTATTGCTTGTCAATTTCCACATTTACTTGACAAATGTGGTCAAGCAAATGTAAACGAGAAAACTTGTAAGCAATTGCAGGGAAGTGATGAACGTTATATTATATATTGGCATATACATGCATCGTATTTATTGCTTATCAATTTCCGCATTTACTTGACAAATGTGGTCAAGCAAATGTAAACGAGGAAACTTGCAAGCAATTGTAGGGAAGTGATGAACGGAGAGGAGTAAAAGACTCTTGAGTTATTTGGCCTTCTTTTTAGAAGGTCCAACATTAATGTTGCTACTTTTTGGAGCAAATAATTTTCTGCCAAATATGGTTTTCTTTCTCTAAGTTTTGGTTCCCACTTCTTGGCAGTGTCTTTATTGTTCTTACTTTCTTTTTATTCTTTGGGATTCATTACAATAGAACTACATATTAAAAGTGATATTCGCCCTATAAATTTATTAAAACATCTTTAATGAAATTATTTATTATGTTATTTCATTAAAAAAATTTTAATAAATTTATAAGTCAAACTACACATTTAATGTACAGTCTGCCTTATAAAACATTTTTTTTGTGTTTCTTTTATTATTTCTAATTTTGTTTCCCTTAACAAAGTGAAATTAATGAAGTTAAAAGAGAAAAGGTTTATCTTTATATCTTTACCTAATTAAAAGATCTACTGATGTTTTAAAGCCTAAAAATTCTTTCATTTAAGCCCAATCATTGGGCCTAGTACTCTAAAAACCCACTAATCTACCTATCTATCTATTTATCACCAATTCCCTAATTTCTTTCCAATAAAAGCTCATCTAACCAAGTAGGCCCTATTTCTTTACGTAATTAAATCATTAAAAAAACCTACTTAGAGGTGTTTTGAAGCCCAATAATTATTTCATTTAAACCCAACCCTCCGGTCCACTCTAAAAATCCACTAGTCTACTTATTCCGTATCTTTATCACCGATTCCCTAATTTCTTTCAAGTAAAAGCCCATCTAACCAAGCAGGCCCATAAATTCTTCTCAATTCTCTCCACAAACGTCGGGCAACCACTCAATTCTTCTCAATTTTCTCCATTTTCGATTCCCTATTGTTCTTCCTTATCTACAAGTGATTGATGCCCGCTATTGAATATTCAATTGAGTATCTTATTTTAAATATAAATAAAATGATTATACATATTTAATTTTTTGAAAGAAATTTATAAACTTAATTATTTAAGGTAATGATTTAAAAACAAACTTTTTATACTATTTTTTAATACAATCTCTAAGTATCATTCAACGAATAGATACATTTAATATTATGAATTCTAAATAAATAAAAAGAACCAATTTTTTAAATGATACCAAGATTGTACAAAAATATAATATAAAAAAAATTATCCCTAATTTATTTTTCCATAATAATTGGCCTTAAAAGAATCATATCAAGAAAAAGATGTAAAGTTAACAATACTAATTACTCTCAATCTGCAATTGACAAAGCCTGGAAAATAAGAAAAAAACCATAGCAATCTCTTTTAAAATCTAGTTTCTATTGTGATATCCTCTATAGTCATAGATAATTATTTGACAATGTTGTTACCAAATGGATAAGATATATATTTTTTTGATTAATAAGAAATTGGAGTGCAAAACTAAGATTAATTATAACTTTTTGAAATAAATCAAGAAC